CCCCCCCTCCTCTGAGCTGACGTCGTTTGTGAACGGTCCCTAAAGCACATGGTAAATTCAACAATTCTTAGTTGGTCGTTTATCTTGATGATGCAAATGTACATCTGATAGTACAGTTTCTTGATGACAGAAGGTGGTAGCAAGATGCCAGTGGCACGTCCTACTTCTTTTCTTTCCCTGTGTTGTTTCTGTCGGTTAGTCCTACTTTTTTCCTACTTCGAATTACTGTGGAAACCATATAATATAACAGGCCCGGTAATAACAGGGATTTTTTAAATCCCCATTTTTCCTACTTTTTGTTCTTATTGAAAGTTATCGCCAATAACAGGGCCTCGTTGGAGCCCAATCGGTTATAGTAAGGACAAAGGCTCCCCAACAATGTGTTAAGAGGGAGAGAGAGTAACACTGTAATGGAGCAAGCCCACGCAAACCATGCCACTGCAAGCACACGCAGCGGGTGAAGTGTAAGGCTGGTCCCAGAGTGGCTCTGTAGGTCTGACCTGTAGTTCGCCAAGCGCACGCCGTCTGCGTGTCAGCACAGCCGTACTGTGCGTTGGCTTCTGTGTCTGAGTGAGCGCCCTCTGCGTGTCAGCACAGCCGCACTAGGCTAGAAGCACGCAGGCCTACGAACAGTCGAAACTAAGTCAACCTCTCGATTCGAAATTTTAAAGTAGGATAAAGTGTATTTCTTGGGATTTTGTGGTCAAGTGGTCATCAATATATAATAGTAAAGCACCTTAAATAATAATTACTTGTTGCTGATTTTGATGATCTGGGAAGAATTTCAGTAGAAAATAAACACGAAGCGAGGCTGCGTGCGACACATGTCCGACGTCGCGCAGCTCAGCGGACAACAGACAGACCATACAGCGACGCTGCTCAGGCACACGACAATGTATAGGTTCATTTGCACGGTGCGAGCTACAGGTCAGACCTACAGAGCCACTCTGGGACCGGCCTGAGAGAAGGCTGCGTGTGGTGTGCTGCAGACTTCGATCTAGCCCTACGACTAGCTACACGCACGCGTAATGTGCCATTTGCAGGCCTGCCACATGGCCACGAGAGAGGACTGCGGTGTGCTGTTGAAGGGTACTTTTGACAAGGGAAATTACTCACGAATAAATACAGCTGAATTAGTCCACAAATGCTTACTTCCCTTGCATTTCTGATTTAACCGGGGTCTCATATAACAGGGATTTTTCTCTGGCCCCACCATCCCTGTACCACCATCGTGTTTTTTGTTTCCTTTTCCCCCCAAACAACCAATGAGTAAAATATGAAGTCTGACGAAACAATAAAGAGTGCGGTTCTGTGTGGATCATGGTGTAAAAACACCTACTAGTTTTTTTTTTTAAAGAGGAGACTTCTGGTGTTCTTGTGCGCTCGCTTCCAACACTGAGCTCGGTACGTTCAAACTAAACACTCTTGTGAAGTGTAAAGTCTGTTGTGCTGTATGGTGCAGAGTCTTGGAGAACAATTATTAGTCATGTACCGTGAAAAAAGATACAAATGTCCGTCTGACGTCTATACGTTTCTAAGGCGAATTCTTCGGATCCGTTCACCAAACCAGGAACTGAGGCTGCAACCTCAAAAACAGCCTGTACAGGACAAAATCCTTTAAAAAGACATTGAGGGTGGATAGTCCACACTCTTATTAAATGGAAACCTGGTGTCAGTGTCACAGGGCAAGTCTTAGTCAGGAACCAACAAGAAAAAGAAAAAAGAAGAAGGCCAAAGAACACCTGGCGCTGTAGCGTGGACGCACTGCGGACGAAATATAGGAGGACCGAACATTTCTGGAGACCATGAAAATAGGTCTAGGATCGAACATGTTGGAGACAGTGAGTAGAGAGACTGGCACAAGACATTTTTTAAAGTAGGTGTTTTATCGCCCCATCAACATAATTTAGATAATTTAGGAGGCGACTTCCGACCCTGCCTTTCTGGGCCAATACGGGCTGAGAGGGATACAACGTCCCAGCAGAATGACCGAGATACTCGATAAAAATTCCTCCCCACTCGGGAATCGAACCTGTGTGCGACAGCGAAACGCCTTACCGTTACACCTCAGACAGCAGTATGAGTCATGACAGCTGAGATCTTCGATGATTCTCACGGGGGTCAAGGATGGAAGAGAGGCCTTCCGAAAACCAAAAAAAGTCCTGCCAGGAACATTTTGCAATTGTCAGTATTTTCAAGAGGTATCAGTACTGCAAGACTAGTGTCGATAATTATGTTATTTGTTTGGTTGTTGTTGTTGGGTTTTTTGGTTGTTTTTTTGTGTTTTTTATGTGGGGGGGGGGGGGGGTTACATTAAATAAATTAATGTTACCAAGTACCACACCACTCGCCATGTGTATACTGTACTACAGACTGCCTGCATCAGCTAACCAAGCGTTCTTTGCTCAAGGGTTTACAGGCGTCTGCAGTGTAGCTGTTATAGTAGCTTTGCCGTCGCGCTCAAAAATCTATCGAGAATCTCTGTCTTTCTCACTTTCTGCTGGAATGTTGCATCCCTCTCATCCAGGGTTGGGACCGACACTGAAATGCAGGACTGAAGCCTCCTAATGATCTTCATTGTGTCCACAGAGACGTAAACCACCTGCATTACTGGTGTATATCATTAAAGCTAAACCGTTCTTTTTCATTTTGAAACTGGTCATGCCTTCCCTCTTTGGATGTTTTTATGTTCATAAGTTCATTGGGCGATTTCAGTTAAGGCCACATACCCCTTTTGCAATGCTTACAATCATCATCTGTAGTGTTTGGTGAGAATCGCCACCAAAAAAAGGGATACGGTTTATTCTGTAGCGTCTGCATACTTACTGATAGTGTGATGGATATTAACTGAGTGTAACATTTGGTGGTTCTTGGACTTGCACTCCCATCAGTTCATCAGTTAGCATCGTGTCTGGGCAGTGGTGAAGATGTCACTTGTGTTGAATCCAATATTATGGCTTTCTACAACTTAAAAGGATGATTTGACGAGCTCTTCAATCAAAGCTCGCCGTCCTCTTGGCTTGCTCCGTCCTATCATCAGAGATGAACAGAAACTTTGGAGACACCCGCTTCATGAATAACATTCCAGTGTTGAAATCCATTCCTAAGAACACTCAATGGGAGATGGGCTACTGCAGAGCCTCACTTTCGCCATAATACTATAACGTCAGAGTAAGTGGGGGAATTAGACAGGATAAGGCCCTGCAATACCTTGGCAGAAATGGTAACAATCAAAATAGCAGTAACTCAGGCAGAAATTTGCCATAACGTCATGGAAGGGGTACAAATGACACATTGGTCAGTCAACGTCTTTTGACGTAACACGCCGTGTCCAAGCGGCTAGAGTGGAACTAAACGTGTCTGGCGGTTCGTCAGAATTCTTCTACTGTGTTCTGGCCTGCGATCATAATTTATTGTTTTCTCTCTTGACCTTAATGTAAATGCTAGTAAAGGGGCTCTCGTGGCCTTGAGGTTAAGGTGTTCGCCTCTCATTCAAAGGTCCCGGGTTCGAATCCGGGTAGCAACGAAACAATTTTCTTCTCTAAAATTGTTTCCTTTCACCATCTTTCCTTCTCTCTTGCAATATTCTGTCGTCTGCTTTCGTCTCCACTTTCTTCCCCCACCCCCTCACCCTCTGTACCCCCTTCCCTGGGCTCCCGACTATTTCTACAGCCTTTCTACCGCTACTCCTTGGCTCTTTCTTACTGCTGTCTTTCAGCCACACCTCTGATCTTCTGGTAGGAAAGATCTACACCTAGCCTTCTCGAACAGTGTGGAAAATCTCGGAGTTGCACACGTTAAAGATCCCTTGGTGATCTAAAATCAATAAGAGTAGGCTTCGCCCGCCACCCGGGCAAAATTCAAAATTGTCTACCAATTGAAAATATTTGGTGGGTCCCGCCCGCTCATTTGACCTTATGCAGTTGCGAGCGCCGTAAAACACTTACAAAAGGCTAGTACTTGTACTGTAATCTTTTTTATCAGTGCGTTCAAGTCATGATACCAATCATTAGAAGGCAGGTGTGATACACGTAGTGAGACTCAATCTACAATAATTCTTTCTTCAGAGTATTTTGAGGATGCATAAGACAAGCAAAAGAAAGAACCTTTTGTGTACGAAATAGTGTAATAATATTCTCATACGTCACGGCAGTCTAATCAAATAAGACGAACTAATGTACTTTAGGATCTCCCCCTTCCTTTTCCACAAAACGGAGGCGAATGCAGGAATGACCAGTGATTATTTCCACTGAGATGTACAGAACTGTGTTTGTCCCGCCAGGAGACACGTTTACATAGCATAAACTGTCAAGCTGTGAGGCCTTGGGGCGGTGTATACCGATACATTCGTCATTATATGACTAACGGCTCCGTACAGCTTGGCACAGTACAGCCTGGATGATCCTGTCTAACTGGCGTGCAGGACTGTTAGAGCAGGCCCGCTTTCTGTTCTACAAGGACACCCACTTGTTGTGAACGCACCAATTGCAAACATGCACTGGGTAAGCATTCCTTTAAACAATTTTTAACAAACTTCGCTACAAACATCGCAGTTAGAAAAGTATCAAGATTTCAAGTGGGTGGCTGGAGAGTGCTGCAGATGAATTAAACTTTTTTAAAAAATTATTTTTTGGGGGTCTAACTTCTCATTTTTAAAACTTGTCTGAGTGTTCTCTTTAATTAAAAATAAAATGAAAATATTTGCATCAGTTGGTAGGGGTTACGTTATTGAACCCATTTATTGAAGAAGAAAAATCTGAACCAGAAGAGGATTGAGAAACAAGTTCCTTCTAACCAAAAACTGTTGATTGAAATTTCTTTTTACATAGAAAACCTTCCCCGTTTGTTTGTTTGTTTGTTTGTTTGTTTTTGCTTTTTTGTTTGTTTGTTTGTTGTTGTTGTTTATTTTTTTAAATTTTTTTTTTTTTGGGGGGGGGGGTCAGTTCTACGTAACAAAACTCAGACATGCACAAGCGTTCTTCCTTTAATATGAAATGAGTCCATGCATAGAAAGTACATTGTATTTTTCCTAATGAGAAATGTAATGCATGTTCATGATAGAGACAGTTTTCTGAATAGTTTTAGGCTTTCTGAATTGTTTTGTTTTTCCCATTACTGGCACTTTCCCATCCACTGTGACGTCACACATCGATTAGCGGGTGTACCAAGGTGGGAAGTGTGATGAGGACTGACAGCATTTTTTTTTCTTTTCATTTTTTTGTGGGGTGGGGGGTGGTATTCAGATTTTCGATATTTTTCAGTCTGAATAAAGGGGCCCTTGCGTTTCCTGACATATTTGACATCGTCCGTGCAGCAATTTGAAAAAGGGTTTGAAATCGTTGGTCTTGATTCTTCCGTAAATGCCTCATTTTATCTCCTCACTGACAGCGTCATGATAATGCGAATCTCAAAGAGAGCAGGCCGAAGATAATACAAATTTATGCATGTATTATATCATATGTAGCGACAAAAGAGTCGCTTGACTTCAACTTCTTTAACACCTGTACTGAGGAAATGTTGAAAAATACAATACTTTTGCTTCCAAAATTCTGCAACATGTTTATTAATAATTAAAAGCAGAATTAAGCTGCAATAATACGCATAGGAATGTCCAAGAAGGCTTATTATGCAAGAGGGTTTGGTTTCTTGACAGCAAAATTGGGCTTTTATTTATGTTTGATGTTTGCATCAAGAGCTTTTCGCTGAACAGGGCCGCCCCAAGTTTGAGCAAACAGCTTCCTTTCGTTATCGAGTGCCACCGACATGTCCATACTGAGATCCGCGTTGACTACCAGTGACTTGATAGCGCGCATAATGCTGGTATCGTAGTTACAGAAGTTTCTCATCAGCCAGTTCTTCGTCTCCTGGAGCTCATCGTCGCAGATTCTTGGAATGACGTAATCGACCAGACCTTCGTGAAAGGCGGCGCTAGGCAACAAGATTCTGGCGGAGCACAACAGGTCAATGGCCTTCCGTCTTCCCAATAGACGAGTGAGTCTGGTGGCGGCTCCCCAAGCTGTCGTGAGGCCCATCTTGATTTGCACAAATCCGATCTTGGCACTTGGAGACATGACGCGATAGTCGCAAGCCGTTGACAGTTCTGCGCCGCCTCCCAGGGTATGGCCTTGGACAAGGGCCACGCTGATGAGAGGCAGGTTCAAGAGTCTGGTGAGGGTGTCGTGTTGGTAGGCAGCCATCTCCTCTCCATAGTGCAAGGCCTTCCGGACAAAGGTGAGGTCCCCACCACTGCACAAGTTGCCGCCCTCACCACACATGATGAGTCCTTTTCCTTCCTTCCACAGCTCCAGTTCACCAACACAGTCTGCCATATCCACCATCATCTTTCCTGAAAAGAAGTACCGGTTGAAAGTGTTGTTTTTGAATTTGGGTCGGATTTTTTAAAAATTTGTTTGTTTGATTTTTGTTGTTGTTGTCGTTGGTTTGTTGTTGTTGTTGTTGGGGTTGTTGTTGTTTTTTTGGGGGGAGTTGTGGGGTTGTTGTTGTTTTTTTTTGGGGAGGGGGGTGTAAGGGATAAATGTTACATCAAACAGAAGTGTGACAAAGGGCATAGATTTAATAGTAACAAGAACAACAGCAGCATCACAAATACATACACACATGCAAACACATACACACATACACGCACACACACAAACACACACCACGCACGCACATTCAAACATATATATGTATACAAAAAGCAGTTGTTTATTTTATATTATTAATCAAACGTAATCTGGACTCATTAGCTACTTTTACAAACAAATGGTAAATTGATTTGGGTCTCTCCTGACAACGGGTTGCAAGCGAAGACATAGTAAAACCATTACTCAATTTTGATACCATGTGTACTTCAAGTTCCATGTTCCAGGATGATGATGATGATAATGATGATGATGATGATGATGATGATGATAATGATGATGATGATGATGATGATGATGATGATGATGATGATGATGATGATGGTGATGGTGATGGTGATGGTGATGATGGCGGTAGTGGTGATGATGATGTGATGGTGACTCAACAGGCTGTG